TTTCTTCCCCTATTGCCGTACTTCCATGTTCCTCATTTAATAGTTTCTCAAAATAGTTCTTCCATCTTTCCTTAATCTCTTCATCCGTCACCAATACCTTAGAATTCTCATTCTTGATACATTTAACTTGATTAAAATCTTTTGTTTTCCTCTCCCGTATCTTAGCAAATTTGTATACCCTCTTCTCTCCCTCCTTACTATCTAGTCTAGTGTATAGGTCATCATAAGTTTTCAACTTAGCCTTTCTCACTACTTTTTTGACCTCCTTATTAGCCAATCTATAGCTCTTAAGGTTTTCCTCAGTTCTATCCTTTTGCCACTATTTAAAGCACTCTTTTTTTGCCTTAACTACCGTTTGGACCTCTTCCTCCACCACCAAGTTTCCCTGGAACTGGGTCCCGTTCCTTTCGACTCTCCAAGCACTTCCCTTGAGAGTAATGTGGATTAAAAGAATTCTTGAAGAATTAAAGTTTTCTCACCCGACACCTATATCTTATTTTCACTTTATGAAACCAGCTATATCTATAGCTCATAATCCAGTTCTACATGATCGCACAAAACATATAGAAGTGGATAAACATTTCATCAAGGAGAAAATCAATGCTGGCATAATCTGTATGACCTACCTTCCAACAGGTGAACAATTAGCTGATGTGCTAACGAAGGGACTACACAAGAAGCAATTTGATAAGCTGACTAGCAAGCTGGCTATGGAAGATATCTTCAAACCAGCTTGAGGGGGAGTGCTAGAAATTTGTGTTAATGTATATAATAAGATGGTGGCATGTATATAATATGATAGTGGTGTTGGTGGTAGATAGTGGCATGTATATAATATGATAGTGGTGTTGGTGGTAGATAGTGGCATGTATATAATATGATAGTGGTGTTGGTGGTAGATAGTGGCATGTATATAATATGATAGTGGTGTTGGTGGTAGATAGTGGCATGTATATAATATGATAGTGGTGTTGGTGGTAGATAGTGGCATGTATATAATATGATAGTGGTGTTGGTGGTAGATAGTGGCATGTATATAATATGATAGTGGTGTTGGTGGTAGATAGTGGCATGTATATAATATGATAGTGGTGTTGGTGGTAGATAGTGGCATGTATATAATATGATAGTGGTGTTGGTGGTAGATAGTGGCATGTATATAATATGATAGTGGTGTTGGTGGTAGATAGTGGCATGTATATAATATGATAGTGGTGTTGGTGGTAGATAGTGGCATGTATATAATATGATAGTGGTGTTGGTGGTAGATAGTGGCATGTATATAATATGATAGTGGTGTTGGTGGTAGATAGTGGCATGTATATAATATGATAGTGGTGTTGGTGGTAGATAGTGGCATGTATATAATATGATAGTGGTGTTGGTGGTAGATAGTGGCATGTATATAATATGATAGTGGTGTTGGTGGTAGATAGTGGCATGTATATAATATGATAGTGGTGTTGGTGGTAGATAGTGGCATGTATATAATATGATAGTGGTGTTGGTGGTAGATAGTGGCATGTATATAATATGATAGTGGTGTTGGTGAAGGATAGTGGCATGTATAGAATATGATTGTGGTGTTGGTGGTAGATAGTGGCATGTATATAATATGATAGTGGTGTTGGTGAAGGATAGTGGCATGTATAGAATATGATTGTGGTGTTGGTGGTAGATAGTGGCATGTATATAATATGATAGTGGTGTTGGTGAAGGATAGTGGCATGTATAGAATATGATTGTGGTGTTGGTGGTAGATAGTGGCATGTATATAATATGATAGTGGTAGATAGTGGTAATATATAATATGTAAGTGGCATATAATGGGTTATAATGATGTTTGTAATATCTCCTATATAAGGAGTGTCATTTGGTCTTGCAAGATAAGAAGTTTTGAATATAACAGAAATATATTCCTTCTTCCTCATATTTTCGGAGTTCTTCTTCCTCATATTTTCTAAGTGTTTCCTTATCCTACAAGAGGGTTCTAGAATCTACCCTAAAAATATCTATACAAATATCCACTTCATTCTAGAAGTAAGTACAAGAGTCTTTTACCACCTCCATTTCTCTAGGGGGTTCTGAAGCTTTTATTGCTTCCATCTCACTAATATTCACTTAAATGTTATAAAACTTATTCTAGATCTTTCTAGGTACATTATAGAATTATATACCGTATTCTCTAATTTTCTCAAGTTTTCCAAGAGCTTCTAGAATATATCATTAGCCTCCCTTCCTTGAGATTTCCTCTTGGTAGGCAATTCTGTCTATGTAATTTGGCAGGACGTGACATTCTCCCCCATTTATGCTTGCGACGCCCTCATCGCACCTTCTTCTTCGAAGCATCAAGTTTTCTTCTTAACTTACGCCTTCTTAAATTTGCCTTGTCCACTTGCCCTATCGATAACTTAACAACTGTGCATGTCGGTGGACTATCTTCTGTAGAGCCAATCATCTTCTTGGCAATGCCTACTACTTCTTTCTTGTCTGTTTCCAACTTGATAGACATTACAAACAGAAGTTTGAGTTTAGTATTTAGCTTACTTACCATTAGGACCATGCAAGGCCCACTTTCCATAATGCACATAGTGTTGTTATGAGGTAACAATGTTACGTTGAATTCTCGCAAGAATTCCATCCCTAGAACTTTGTCATAGTCATCGAGTGATGCTATCAAAAAATTGACTTTTTTGCGCCACCCACCAAGGTGCAGCTCAACCCCTCGAGTCATGCCATCTACGGGCTTTGCCTTGGTGTTCATCATCTTGATCAATCCTTGACCCTTGTCAAGTTAAAGACCAAGCCTCTTGGCCTCCTCCGCCTTGATGAAGTTGTGCGATGTGCCTGTGTCTACCATGATTTGGGTCACCTTCCCGTTGATCTTGGCATCCATGTACATTAAACCCTTATCCCATTAGGTCAATGTAGTAGGCTTCAATTCAATGGCACCACCAGTTGTAGAGATCCTATCTACGGAGTCTACACCTTTTTCCATTCTTCAATCATGGCATTGACGGCTTGCCTCTTGGGACACTCTCTTGCCCAATGTGGCCCCGTCACATAGGAAACACTTGGTCTTGGGTTTGAATATCTCATTGTTTTCTTTGTCCTTGCCTTTGCCCTTTTTGCCAGTGGAAGGCTTGCCGTGCCTTTCCTTGCATCCGATGCCTTCATCCACATCCTCTTCACTTTCACTAGAACTTCTTCTAGGGTCATCCTTGGATGTCTTGGCTTTACCATCCCCACGTTTGTACTCAATAAGCGATTTTGCCACTGCCATGGCCAAGGCAAGATCTTGTACTCCACGTCCGCATAATTCTTGCTCCGCCCATGGTTGTAGGTTGTCCAAGAAATTGAAGAGTAGTTTTTCATCAGTCATACTTGGGACTTCAAGCATAAGAGTATAGAATTCCTTTACATAGTCCCGAATAGACTTTGCGTGTTTAAGACTTGTCATGCTCTTCCTTGCTTGGTAGGCCACATCATCGCGATAAAATTGTTTCTTAAGTTCTCTTTTGAAATCATCCCAAGTTGCTATGGAGCACGTACCTCTCTCAATGCCAGCATATTTGTGATGCCACCATAGTGTTGTTGTATCTGCAAGGTAAAGGACTACAGTTCGTATCTTAGCATCTTCCACGGTTACTGCCATCGTTTCGAAGTATCTTTCCATATGTTATAAGTAGTTGTCCACTTATTTGGCATCCCTCTTTCCATCAAAAGGTTTTGGCTTTGGTACCTCCACCTTAGATGTCCCCAGCATGGTCACAGCTCCCTCAGCTATGGCCTTCTTGCACATCGCTATATCTTGGTACATCTCCTCCAAGCAGGCTTCAAAGTTCTCAAGCATCTTCAACACTTTGGTTTGGAAGGAAATCATTGGCAATTTGGCTATCATGCACCACGGAGTTGATGTTGGAAAGCATGCCATCATGGAGTTCCTTGATCTCCCCCTTGAGACCTTCTACCTCCTGTTCTAAGCTTTGCTCCAACACATCAAGATGCTCCCCCGAGTCGTCCATGGAAAGCTTTAAGTTGGCTAGCCGAGTTTTCATGGTTGCAACAACGTCACGCCCCATCTCGTGACTTGTCCTTCCTTGCTTTGCTAGTGTTGTCCCTCCCATGGGTTTGCTCAATCACCATAGTCTCACTAGCACCGGATATGTTGCCTTTTCTTCCCTTCTTACAAGCCTGCTCTGATACCATGTGTCACAGACTGGGTGTTTGTCATCCTCCCGAGAAGCTGGCTCCATTAGTGGTACTGCATACCTCCGTGCATTATACCCAAGGACTAATTCAGGTGATACGATAGGGATCTACCCTGCCTGACTTGCCGTTTACAAACTAATGTGCTTGTAAGGTACTTGGTGTAGAACTCGCATCTCCAATGAGTCGGTACAAGACATTATGTCCAAAATCTCGTCAAAGTGCCACACCCATTGTGTTCCAAAGTGCCACAAAAGACTCTCACTTCATTTCTCCCCTCCTTCGTTGCAATCCCTTGACTCGACTTTACAGTCGGTACAACTATGGAAGGTCTCGCTCTGCTCTCTGCGCACTACCAAGACCCACTAAACTTGACCCAACTTCACATTTCATCTCAAACCTCAACTGGGATTCACTCCCATCTCCAAACTAGGTTCAACCCTTCTTTGTTGTTCCTAATCTCGTCACATACCCCAAACACACCTCCACCCAAGCCCTTCCCTTTGGATACACCAAATTCTCAACCTTTTCGACAATCCACCCAACATGGAGACACAACTTAACTTGGATTCATGCTTATGGCTGCTAAAATTTCGATCTTTTAATTGGTGCCCAGCTTTGTTGCATTCGTCGTGTTGCGTTCCAATCAGCAATTTCGTTGTGGGTTTGCAGTTCTTCTACTGGACTCTTTAGCAAAAGGGTTATTGTCACTATATTGAATGCTTATGTTCTTTTGATTGATTGATATACGACTACTGATATCTAGTGAGGAGTGTATTTGATGTGTTTTATTGATTAAATGTTTCTGTGAAGCCTAGTAATGGTGGTGCAATTGCTGTGTTGTGTTGTGGGTGTGGTGTCGAAGGGAAAGAAAATGATATTGAAAATCAAATAGCCTGTATTGAATTTAAATTATAATGCTGTAACAACACTAGAATTATGAGATAAGAGAGTTGAAATAGAGAATGATAACAAATGATCTGAAGCTGATAATAATATATCTGTTCATAGTAACACTAACATAGAATAGATATCATATATTTAACAAATTAGAATGTCATTTTTTTTTTTTAAATTTTATTGTATTACTGAGTTTGATGTTTTTCTCTGTTTTTTTTTTTGTTGTAGGAATTTGGATGAAGTCACCCAGTTTTAGTGATGTAGGCTTCGGACCTCCTCCATCGAAATGGAAGGGCAAATGTGCAAATGGAACTAACTTCGCAGGATGCAACAAGTATGTGTTCTCTCTCTTACAAATTTGTGTTATAGTGTTATTATGAGTCCAAGAATATTATGTGTATAGGTCTACTAATTTTTTTTCTTCGCAAGCTAAAATACATCAAGCCTACTTGTAAGTGAAGGGGGCTGTCAAGGGGAGGGGAGGGGAGTGGAGGGGTTGGAGGAGGAGAGAGGGCTGTAGAGGGGGCGAGGGGAGGAGAGGTGTCAACAGGGAGCAGAAGAGGTGCTAGGTAGCCAATGGGTTAGGGTTGGAGTTACAGTTGAAGAAAAGGGTATTATGTAAATTAGATGGTGTGAATTCAGGAAAAAACAAAATTCAAAAACCAAAATTGCCTATGTATGAATTGAATATTTTGTATGAACTGAGAGAAAGTACATGAACACATAGGCACTACCCTTTAGACTGAAATTGGACAACATGACCTTTCTTTATCACAATTTAATAAAAATCAGTCATTTTTTATCTACTCATGAGTACCCATTAATGATTTTCCCTAGCAAAAATGCTTGATTTTTATGTGCTTTTAAACCTTGCGAATTATTGAGTAATTTCCAAGTAAATATATCATCCTGCATGGGATTATAACTTCAGCAATAATATGTATCACGGATTTTTTTTTATACAAAATCATCTCAAAAACCATAGCCGGTCAACTGGCCTGTCTATCCTAAGCTTTGCCAATCAGCCAGCCATGACTTCAAGACAATTTTCACGAAACATCTTTTCGTGACACCTAACTCATGGTTATAACTTTGAATCTCATTTCAACCTGGGCAGCAAGGTCATCGGAGCGACATGCTACAACCTGGACAGCGGCCCGGTAGATGATCTGAGTCCAGTAGACAACGACGGCCACGGCACACACACTTCTTCCACTGCTGCCGGCATACCTGTCAAGGATGCAAGCTTGTATGGCATAGCAGAAGGGACTGCACGCGGAGGAGTCCCTTCTGCTCGTATTGCAATGTACAAAGTATGCTGGAGTGTCGGTTGCACCGACATGGATCTCTTAGCTGGCTTTGATGCTGCTATTGCCGATGGGGTCGATATTATATCGATCTCTATAGGTGGAACACCTAGACAATTCTTTGAAGATCCTATCGCCATTGGAAGCTTCCATGCAATGAAGAATGGAATCCTCACTTCTTGCTCGGCAGGGAATTCAGGGCCTGACTTTGCATCCATCCAAAATGTGGCGCCATGGATCATGACAGTGGCTGCAAGTAGCATCAATCGACAGTTCAAGACCACTGTTAAATTGGGTAATGGACAGAATGTGTCTGTAAGTTTCTCTTTTTCTCTGTTTTTCTCTTTGTAAGCCTCTCTCTCTCTCTCTTACATGAACTGTCTTTTGGTTGGTAGGGAATTTCCATCAACACATTCTCACCCAAAAGACAAATGTATTCTCTAACAAATGGAGCCCATGCAGCAAATTACAGCGACGAAATATATGGAAATGTCAGGTACATATTGCAAATTGTTTGAAACTGTTTGTATTCGAGGATATTAAAGGGAAAGGGGGCAAAAAATCCTGTTATTATAGTATTAGTTAATAATTTTTTAAAAAATTATACAGACTCACCTCTTTTGTTTCGTTTTTTTTATTTTATTTTATATTTTTTTAAAATAAAATTTTAAGTAACTGGCCCTTTAGGTTTTTAAAAAAACAAAAAATTAAGAGAAGAAAGCAGAGGAGAAATCAGCAAATTACTATATTTATTAAGGAAGACATTGTCGATTCCATCAAAGATGTGTTTAATGATATAAAAGAGCATTGAGAAAACAATAATACGAGGGATCATAAAAAATATATCATGAAATGCTTCATAAAATTTTTTCATCATTTGATTAGTGTGTGGTACTTTTTTGTATATATAATCTAACGGTGGAGAATCTTATCAATTGAGGTGCCTCATTCTAGTAGATAGATTATCCACTGGTTGCAATTGCTTGAAGACATTGTCGATTCTATCAAAGATACATTTTTTTTTTTAGATGGTATCAAAGATGCATTTAATGATATAAAAGAGCATTAAGAAGAACTCAAGGTGCCTCATTCTAGTAGATAGATTGTCTAATGGTTGCTATTGCTTATTTATATATATATATATATATATCTTATTCTTTATTTTCATTGCCGTAAAAATTGATATTGTAATTTATATTTTCTTTTTTCTTTTCTTTTTTTGTTATTTTATTTATTTACCCGATATTAAACTCATGAATCCGTTCGCTTATGCTTTTAGGATTTGAAAAAAAGTAATAGATAAGCAACCATATTTAATTTAACCATAAAAGATAAATGGCATATCTTGATCACTTTCCTAGTGAAATAAATTATTCAAGTGGGTAATGATATATATTAACACATTTTTTTACAAAATTTTTATACTGAATGATGTGGTTGTGGTTCTTTTAAACCCAACCAAAAAATTTCCTCTAATGACTCATAATTTTAAAAATAACATTGTCACAATAAATTTTATGTACCAAAATTCTGTTTGTAAATTTTTATTTTTTAATTTATAACACTGACAGTACTTAGCCTCACTAATTTATCGGGTCAATTATTTTTTTAGTCTTTAAAGTATATTGTTTGTGTCATTTTAGTTTTTAATGTTTAAATTATATCAATTTAATGTCTACTGTATAAAAAGTATTTCAATTTGGTTTTCCTACCTAATTCCATCAGTAAAAGCCATTAAATTTGGGGATAAATGTGAAAACTCATTAAAAAAACTATACTTTGTCTCTTGAATATACGATGTGTCATTTTCGTCTACGAAATTACACATTCACCACTGATTTTATCGGTGTCTATTGACAGCGTTAGGTTGAGGGACCAAATTGAATCACCTTTTATACATTAGGAATTAAATTGATATAATTTAAACATTAAATACCAAAATAACACCGAAGTCAAGGACTAGAAATATAATTAACTCATTTATAGCACTGCTTGATGTACATATATGTATATAAGTTCTTTATGTAACGGGGACGCCATGTGGTTGAGATGACATGGTATGTCTTTTCACTTGTTAATTGACATATGATAGAAAGTGAAACCGAAATTTGATGTGATTGAACATTTTTGCACCTGAAGGCCAAGCATAAAGTGACTCCTCAAGCTCCACTTTTGTTACATGATGACAGTCTATGAATGAAATGGATACATTACGTTATCTTAATCACGAGTTATACGCGTTACATACAATATTTTTCGGCTTGGAAGAGCTGTAATAATGACACTTGTATGTAAAATGATTTGGCAGTGCATGTGATTGGGGAACTCTGAGCAAGAATATGGTAAAGGGAAGGATCATCTACTGCCTTGGAACTAGTGGCCAGGATTCCACCATCAGAGATTTAGGTGGGGAAGGAATCATCATGGCATATGACAACTCAGACTTAGCCTTCTCCTTTCTTATTCCAGCAACTATGATAACTGTTACTGAAGGAACCAAGATCGACCAATATATTAACACCACTAAGTAAGTTCTTTTACTTCCATTTATTGGAGTAATATTAATATTATTATATTATATACCAGAATTGAACTATACAAAAAGAAGTGTCCTTTTTCTAAGTTTGAAATTTGTTCACATACTATGAACAAAGTATACTCTTCCATTGGTTAATTTTACATTTTTTTGTAGGACCACTCTATTGATTCAGCCAATAAAAAAATGTGTTTTGTTCACTCTCTTTTCTTTGGCCAAATTAATAGAGTAGTCCTAAAAAAAGTTGCAGAATTGACCAATGAATTTGAATTTTCAACTGGCTGGGTTTGAATAATTGAAGTTTCTTCCAAAAATATGTTGTGGAGAGGGCTTGAACATGGAACCAAGTGCATAAACAGCAAACACTCAAAACTCGTAAGCCATCGACACAATTGTTGACAATGTAATAAGTATATATATTATATATTCAATATTATCTTAATTATTTTTACTAATGTATAAAAAACGTAAAATAAATTTAAAGAAATATTTTTTTTTTTGTAATTTTAATAGCTATATTTTTCATACTTATAAATTTTAATATATTTATGACATAATTATGACATCGCAGTTCAATTCCGGTTCACCCGCGGTTGAACCAATGACCCATCCACCCGGTCACTTTTCCGGTTCGCTCACTGGTCCGGTTTTCAAAACATTGCTCGCAGATATAATTGTCTCATACCCCCCCCAGGACACAATAGTCCCCCATATGGGGGATAAGGAGTCCGGCCGGACTCCATGTCCGGCAGATTAAAAAAAAAACAAACGGCGGATTGGATGCTTCTTCCGGATTACAATCCGCACAGTAAATAGTCCCCCCCTTATCCCCCAATCAAACACACCCAAAGTATACTCTTCTAATGGTTGATTTTACATTTTTTTGTAGGACCACTCTATTAATTCAGCTAATTAAAAAAGTGTGTTTTGTTCACTCTCTTCTTTGGTCGAATTAATAGAGTAGGCCTAAAAAAAATACAGAATTGACCAATAAATTTGAATTTTGAAATACATGCTCTCAAATATATTTTCTATTATCGTTGAACTTTTTGTTACATTAAACTCTGTGATTTCACTCAATCTCTGATGGTGGCTATCTTTCTCACCCTCTCACTTATCATTGTTATCTTCACAAGCATTTTCTTGAACCTTTCTCCCTACTTTATTTATTTATTTTTAGTTCATATTTATTTTTTTAACTTTCCCACTCTTGGAAGCTTTATGCTTGAACAACTCAAGTCATGATACCTAATTATACACATATTAGGATAAGAGAAACTATAATGTCATGCACCAAATTGTCTTACATGAATATAAAAATACCAAAATATTTGTGAGAGAAAAATATGTGACACCCACATTTGAATAGAGGGCGTATCCCGTGTACGAAACTCCCGCTTAAGCGCAGTCTAGGGAAGCGTTGATGTACGTAGCCTTACTCTTACAAGCGGAGATACTGTTTCTGCGACTTGAACCCATGACCATCAAGTTATCAAGGGGTAGCTTTACCGCTACGCCAGGCCCGTCCTTCTAACACCAACATTTGAATACTTGACATTAACAGTATTCTTAGGATAGATTGTAAAAATTCTAAAAGACCTTGACTCCTCTAGCTAATCACCAACTCTTTGTGATATATCTTCCACATCATTCTCGTCATTAGATTTTATGTTTTTTGAGAAATCTGATTTCTTCTCCAACAGTTGCCACTACTAGAAGGTATAAGGAACAATGAAGGAAACTAATAAGGAATTAAGGAATTTTGCATTAATTTTACGGAGAGAATTGGAACAGAGGCCCATTTGGTTGAGTTTTTGAATCACTTTTTCACAACCCAAAATGTAACGCCCCAAAACATGACAACTAACCATCCCATGACATATAATGGAAAAGCATAAACTTACAAAATATTAATCTTTCATTGATTTTCTTTAATAGTACAAAAGATGACATATGCATGCATACATTCATAAATCCTAGATTCTGAATCTATAGCATGTGACATGTATGAATAACTTGAAACAAAAGGGAACACAGATAAGTTTATACCATAATGGCTACATATTTCCAAGACGATACTTAATTATAACAAAAGTGGGTCAAGCCCAAAGAAGCAATAAAGCCTGTGGCTTGTGCAAAAGATATATATAATTAAAGAAAAATAAAATGAGCCTTCAGCTCCACGATCCTCCTAAGTTAATGTCACGACCCAAACCCGCCCCTATGGGTTTAGCACCGTAACTGTAACGCCCTCAAAATAATAACGTTAAATCCATCAATATAAACATACATTTATATATAAAAGATCCACATTCTTCAATTCATCGGAGTACTTCATTACAAAAGTATTACATGTTAACAACAAAAGAAAATGCCCTACGGGCTTACAGCTTTCCAAGTTAACACTTGGTTACAAAAGAGAGTACTAACTCAATTACACATTAAGCCCTTGGCTTGAATTTACATGTAATGCATCAAAAGGAAATAAGACAACAAAAGTGTGTCCGCCTCTAACCTCCCAAGCTATGTCCTTGGAGGTGACATGCTACCTGTACCTGAAAATGATGTTCCCATATAGGGTGAGCCACAGCCCAACAGAGATATACTAAACCAACTATGAACAATGACTAAAAGATTAGCAATTGATAGATGGCCAACACTGATACATCTACATATATCACATCACAATTTCATAACATACGAGTCTATGTCACTTTTCATTCTCCATCTTTATTTAATAGATAAGCATATTAGCTATACCAACACATCAACAGATAAGCATATTAGCTGTATCCACACTTCTCTAGACAAGCATATGAGCTGTATCTACGGAGTTCATCCCCCATCTCCTCCCAACACTATCCGGTTTAGAGGTACATCCCCCATCTTCCCCTAAATCACGAAGTACATCCCCCATCTCCTCCTCTACACACAATGCATATAAACACAAAGGTTCTATACACAATTAATCAATACATAAAATTAATGTATTCTATCCGCCGTCATACGCTATGACGCATTCAATCGATTAGTTTTAATTTGCCTACTCATCATGCATTGTCTACAACAATCAAGACTATCCTTCACCGATAGCCCAAAGTAGTTATTTCTAAACAGAAAATAAATGGACAAAATGGATATTAAATCAACATTTCAATTAGGTGAGTGATAAACGATCCAACTACACCCTCTAATCCCTTCCCTTTCCAATTTCCAACAATTAATTGTACAAATTAATCAATCAATATAATTAGGGCATTTTCCATAATTAACATTTCAACCCTCTTCGGTTTCATTTTCATCAATGTTTCAACATTTACATCATTCCTTCATGCCAAACATGCATTTAGGTTTTATACAATTAAAACCCCAACTTTTGTAAAATTACACAAAGGCCCAAACTCTCTCAAAATTACCCAACAACCCCCAACATATCGAAATGCCAAAATTTAAAGACAAACTCATAAAGAGGAGTAGGATATCCCTACCTCGAAGTTAGAGCTCGGATGGAGAAGAGACCAAAACCAAAGTGCTCCAAAAGCCAAGATTTTCGGATCAAAACGATGCCCTCGACGATCAACACAACTTTTGTGAAGACCAAAGGTGAGGAAAATACCCTAGCTAGATCAAACCCTAGAGAGAAGGGAGTTTCTAGAGAGAGGGGCTCTCAAAAATGGGTTTTAGAAAAAGTAGGAGAGAGAAAGGAAAGTAAAAAGTGATTTAAAATCACCGAGCGGATAACTCATATACGCATGACCCGGTCGAGCGTATAATAGAGCGCTCGAGCGTAAAGCACAAACGTCTGGTCCCGCTCGAGAGCATAGATAACCGCTGGAGCGCCAAGAAACAAAAACAAAACACATCTGCTCGAGCGTGAAAACCAGTCCGCTCGAGCACAGATTTTCATCTCCCAGAACTTTACAGGAAAAAGGACTACACGCTCGAGCGCCAGTAATCCCGCTCGAGTGCAAGAAACTTGCTCGAGCGTAGAAAACACACTACAGAAGTTTTGCAGGGCCACGAAATACTGGAAGTGTACAATATCCGCTCGAGCACAACAAGACCCGCTCGGGCGGAACGACCAAAAACCTGGCAACAAGATTTCAGACCAAGGTTCAACCCACCTGTTCGAAACAAGCCCAACACATCCTATAACTCAAACCAAAGGAATTAAAGGACAACAACAAGATGGATACAACTACCAACTTCACGGAACCGAGTCCGGAATACAACAGAACAGTAAAGGGATAACCGGGATCGCTATAACCTCTCCCCCTTAAAGAATTTCGTCCCCGAAATTAAACACAAGTTTTTTTTTTTTTTCAAAAACAGGTTTTCTCCATTCTCAACAATATTACAACATAATATTAAACAACCCGACCCATTACCGGTCAATTCCATCTCTTTTTAAGAGGCAAAACACATTATTCATAACAACCTGCATTATTAACATGCATTCTTTTGAAATATATCAATTTCAACCTGTTTCTCACCATTTCTTAACACATGCAACATTATTATCATGCTTGCATTTCCACAATATACTTAACATACGTAATATTAAAACAAATTTCCATTAACCAAAACATTCACAATGTTTTACAACTTAAGACATATACAATGCTCTTAAAGTTCAACAATATTACAGAATTTCATTACAAAATTACACATCGATAAACATGTCAGGATACTTCTCACGGACTTCCAACTCACGTTCCGAAGTGGCTTCCTCCACTCCGTGATGTTTCCACAAGACCTTTACCAAGGAAATGGTCTTGCCTCGCAAGACTTGATCCCGCCTATCCAAGACCCGCACAGGTCTCTCCTCATACGAGGCATCCTCATCTACCTCCAAGTCGGTCCAATCCAACACATGTGATGGATCCG